TTAAAGCACATGGACTAGGCTACGCAATTCTGTGCATCATATCTTATCTTGCCACATTGTTTCCTTAAGGACTAGCACATGAGCCAGTCAGAGCCATAGAGAAGACCTGAGATCGTGGGAAAGGAGTTTATCCCAAGATGGGTTTGCAATTATTACTAGGTTCTTAGGACCCATACTCCTTACATCAGCTTGTTTCCAAAGGAGACATGGCAGCTTGAAGGTCATGGGTCCTACAGTACACCTTATCCTGCTGATGTCATGTGGACCCCAAATGTAGCTGCGCTGGAAACTCAATCTACGACCTTGGACTTTCCAGTTGCGACAGTCACATATTTCATTTGTGTCAAGTTTTCTCTTAGGTGCAGGCACAAGAGTCCTAATATATTCTCTAAGTGATTAAAGTTTATGAAAAGCAGAAAAAGACTATAATTTTGCCTGAAACTTGTACAGAAACGACATGGTTTTCCAATAGCTGAATATCGTTTACCTATCTGATGTGTGTTTCTGCCCACATGTGAAACATAAAAATTGAAAATGTAAATGCTATCCAAAAGACATGGGCCTTTTCTCTAAAATGATCATATTTTAAAACAATCCATTAACATCAAAATTACCTCCCCAAATTGTAAAGCCAAAATTTACATATTCTGTTTTTTAGCTCAATAGACTCATCTTCTTCTCCCTCTTAATGTTTGTTTTACAGCTGAGTTATATAATAGGAGTATGTAATTAAAATCCTCAGCCCCGTAATTATAAGCTCTGCTGCAGTATAATTGTTAAGCCTTTTGATGATTCCATCACTAATTATGCTTCTTAGAATTTCCAAATATCACTTTTCCATAAAAATCTGATCATTGTCAGCTTTCAGTCAATATTCTTGACTGCATGAAAAAATATGGTTTATTTCTGTAGCTACATTGATTCATTACATTTATTTTACCAAAGAGAGAAAAATAATAAAATCATACAAATAGATATATATATTCATGACTAGATGGCATATCCTTTTCTCTTTCAAGGGCTACTATGAAACTTCCAGAAATTATTTACAATGGAACTTTTAAAAATCTTTATTAGAATGTTGACTTACCTGCTTACTTCCTAATACATAAGGCTAAAGATCTATTTACGATCTATTCAAAGACCTATCATCTAAGACTTGTCATTAACTTTGGAGTACCTTGAATAAGGTATTTTACTTTGAAATGGAGGTATTAAATCTTATTTCATGAACAGAGCCCAATCACATCCCAATCTCACCTTTCCCGCCCTCTGTTTACTCTCATCTCTCCCCACTGCCCCACCTGGCTACTTGTCTTGAAAATCCGGACTTATTTTCACAAGATGCTAAGTAACTATTTTCACAGTCAGACACGCTAAGGCACAACACAATTCTTCCTTCTTTTCAAATTTACTATAGGGCGCTGGACCTCAGCAGAGAGAGACAGAGAAGGAAAGTGAGAAAGCACCTCCTACTGGGAGGAAGGCCACGCTGCAATCCCTTCTCCTCCATTCTCTTTGGATTTTGGTCATGCATGCACATGTGCCAGGTGTGTTGTTCAAACCACCAGATCTGGGACTTGAACTGCAGTCAACTATGTGGTATCTAACTGCCTTAACCATCATCCCACCAGCTAGTCCACAATACAATACTTTGAAAGAGAACTTTTAGGGAATAGTTTATTTTACCATTAATGGGGGGGGAAATGTTGAGCAAGATAATACTCACCCCACACTTCTTGTTTTTGAGTCAGTAAGTAGCATCTACATGGCCCCCAAGATATAGAATTTTAAAAGCACAATTGAATTGAGACAATGTATTCAGCCTCCCAACTGACTTTTGGTGTAATAAGCAGTAAAGGAAGACACAAGCTACCTTCTCGCCACCACTACCACTGAGCCAGGAAGAGTAAAACGGTCACATGGACTGAAGTGGAGGGGCTTGTACATGAGAGTTGGGGTAGAGTTGAGAAGATCCAGGAAGCATCTTGGCAGATGTCCCCTACACATGGCAGAGTAGGTGTCATCCAGGCACCTCATTATTGCAGTGCAGGAAGATGGGAGGATCTTCCATGTCAGCCATTTTTTAATCAACCTGAGATAAAACCAAGACACTATGGCCTTGCTTTACCTGTTTTTTCTACCTTCCCACAAACATATGTGTATATCATATGTTTAAGGCTCAGGCAGTCTTCTACCCTGAAGAGCAGGCCTTTGCTATGGGGAAGGCTCTGGGTTTATTTCACAATGTTTCTCTTCCTCTCCCAAAGACATAAGTGACCTTTTTTGGCATCTTCACTGTGAGAACTCAATGGAGTTTCTGGAGTGTACCCCCCATCCAAGATTGTGGAGTACCTTTAATACATACCATAGACATGGTGGTAAAGCATGAAAAGCCTTCGTCCTGGGGTTTAGGTGCATCTAGATGTGTGTGAAATCTAATCTTACTAGATTAACATTTACCCAGCAACGATTATGAGCAATGTACTTACTTACCTGGAATTTCATCCATTATCATTGTAACAGCCCCAATCACATAGTATGATCTAGCACAATCCTCTGCTGTGGAATGCTGGTTAGTCATTACATAAAATGTTAGGTGTTACATTTTTTAAGTGCTACAGACAATAATTAGCAGACACCTGATAAAAGAAATGTCTACTAGACAACTGTGTATTGTTAATTTAAGAGAGAGATGTAGACACCATTTGCCCAAATCATTTTTTAGAGGTTTTTGCCTTAGGGCACATGCACTCACGGGAGAGAGAGACAGACAGACAGACACAGTGAGAGGGAAAATGAGAAATCACCCTCCAGGAGGGATGGCCATGCAGCAGTCCCTTCTCCTCCATTCTTCTCCTGGGATCTTGGGCACACATGCACATACACCCAGCATGATTTTGAAGCCAGTGGGTCTGGAACTCAAACCATGGTCAGCCATGTGGGAGTCTGGGAACGTAACTACTACACCATCTGCCAGTCCCTCCCCATATCATTTTATCACAGATCTTTCATTTTTTTCATGGAACATCTGGTGGGACTTGTGCTTTGTGGAATATATTTTGGAAATTGTTAGTATAGTAGAAAATACAAGAGATGTAGAGCAAAACTGAACATCAATTTGAATCCCAATTTCATTACTTGCTGTTTAGACTAATTATGTCATTTCTATTCACCTCGTTCTTCATTTATAAATTAAAGGTGTAACACTCTGTTTATCAATCTATTATGTACTATCATAGCAAACAATAACATCTACGTTAATGGTCAACATGGAGATTCAATGATGTTGAGTATATGCCTATCATATGATAAACACACATCAGTTACTAACGTTATCATCATCGTCATCATCATTGTCATCATCATCATCATCATAGATCAGGCTCCACAAGTGAGAAGCTCTTCCACATATTAGAATCTGTTTATCTCTGAATCAATATATAGGTTCAAACAAATAAGGGCTGCTTCTAAGTCATGAGTGCTTGAATAACACATCTGGTCTAATCTACGTGTTGGGAGGATGTGAGTAGGAGTGTATCCACGTCTAAGTTTCCACAGTCTATGTCATCACTGAAATGTCATTCCATGTTTGGTAAAGTTCACAAAGAACATTGCATGGGCCTTCCAAATATGGCTCAGGAGACAATTCCTTTCTGAGAAAAGTATAGGGCCAAGGCCAGAAGCATTTAATCTGTATGAGCAAGCATTTGGGAATCCTTCATTTGAAAAGAATTACTTGTGTTAATTGGCTAGTACAACATTTTGATTGCATGTTGAAGTCACAGCTAAACTCTTTTGGAATGTGATGTGTTTCCCACCCTACAATGTCAACATGGTGGGTGAGCTGCCATGGAGAACACCAAGGAAGCAACCGCAATACAGTATCTGGTTCCCATGTGGCAAGAGCTACTCAGTGCTGGATTCAATACTATAATCTTGAACATGTTGATTTGGAGCAATATGCATGATTAGGTGGTTTAATTGCATGTTGTAAAGGAAGCTGTGACCTTTCCAGTCCCATCTTGGAATGTGGCATTATGTTACTGGGAGGAGGACAAGACAAATATGTGTATGTGGGGAGCTTGACAACCACGGTGCTCCTTTGTATAATTATTCAAGTGTATTCAATACTTTTAAACCCATATGGACAATGCCTCAGACATGAGTGGCCATGTATTGCTTAAATAAAATTGTGTAAGACTCAAAGCACTTTGAGCAAGGATCCAGTGGCATTATCGATTGTAAATTTTGAGAGTACAACATTAAAATTAAAGGCATGATATTCTTGTCTATCAATCCATTAGCTGAAAACATTATAGCTTAATGGTGCCATAACCACTCCATATGGCACCAACAATTAAGAGAGTAATATAAATGCTGTCATTTGCAAGATGCTTTATAGTTTAAGAACTACCTTCACAGTCATTATTACTATATTTTAGTAGGACAAGAGAAAGTAATACAAGAAGAGACAAAGAAGGTATCATTTTTCCAACTTTATGGCTGAAACATCAAAGCAAAGTGTTAAATGATTTGTAGTGGTAAGGTTAAGACGTAAACCCAAGTTCTTGGCACCAAGTTTACAGTTTCTTCTCCCTTGGGAGTATTACAAACCCTGAGGACAAGACCTAGAGTTCTGAAATACAAATTAATTCTGCCAGAAAGCTGGATTGTTTCTCTACAGTATGCACAGCCAAGATCCCCAAGAATAAAATGAAATGGTTTGGCCTCTTGTCAAAAGTTACCTGAAGATTAGGCTGGTACTGTCTGCACAGAAAGCAACACACTATAAAAGAAGCAATGACCCAGACAACCCAGCCCTCAGTTGCTTTTACTTGAAATGTCCTTAAGATTGAGTAAAAAAAAGAATAATAAGGTGTGTTTGAAAACTGAATTATGGGTATAATTGACTTGATTGTCTCTGTGGCTTTATATTTGAATGCAATCACACATAAAACCACCAGGTACTGATATTTCCAATCTCAAACATAAATTACCTGCAAAATAGCATTCTCTGGGTCCTTGGCTGCTGCTCTGTAAATGACTGTGCCCGGGGCAGTGTCTTCTAGGATATAAATCTCAGTAACTGCCAGAAAATGTACAATAAACATGCTTGAATGAGTATCACCACTATAAACCCCCAAATCTCTCATCAAATCCTGAATTTCAGACAAAACTTAAAAGTACTATATTGTTCAGCACAGATGTTTTTATAGGATGACTCCCTTTAAGTCAATAATAATAATAATAATAGTAAACACTATTTATCAAGGGTCTATAATGTATTAGGCATAGATCAAAGAGATTAATGAATTTAAACAATAACAATGCTGAGAGCATTTTTGAGTGCTTATTAATTGCTACACACTTAACATCATTAGGGACTTCATCATTTTCATTTTACTGAGGTGTATAAACATTGAATGACTCCAGAGCACACAGCTAAAATGAACATTTTCTGACTATTTTATTAATGTTTGTCTTCTCCTTATGTTTGACCTTTCCCCATGTTTTTAAAACAGCAGGGACCACAAACTTGCAAATGTGCTTGTCAAACCATTTATCCAGGGATCAGGAGCATTATGGCCAGGTGAGACCCGTGACCACCAGAGGGGAAGACCCACCCCAGGAGAAGCTGCTGGACCATTTTGTGGATAGTGAATGGTCCACTGACCTGCTTGGACTGTAGCCAGAAACCTGACCTGCTCATCCAGGAAGAAAATGCTTATAGAGCTCACAAGCACTCTGGTAGAGTTCCCTGCTTTAGAAGTCAAGAGCATGAGTTGACCTTGGATCTGTCCTAGAGCAGTTTAGCATCAACTTAGAGAAAGGAAAGCAGGAAGAATAACATTTATTGAGCACCTACTGTATGTCTGGCACTATACAATACTTGGCACTTTAAAATACTCCCTCAGCTGGGGGCTGGCTGGTGGAGCAGTAGTGAAAGCATTTTATGAAGTAACCCCACATGGGAAGGATCTCTGTTGAAGTCCAGAGACCTCCCTGAGTACACCAGGCATTCACATGACCATGATCCGGGGCAGGCTAAAGGCAAGGAATGGATCATGGCATCAAGACCCTGTGGGGGTTGTTCTTTATCTCCGTCTTGCTCATGGGAGAGATAAATAAGAAAAGTTTAAAAAAAATTATCTCAAGTGAGCTTTATCAACCAAGGATTCCTATCTCAGTTTAATCAATGAGGAAAGTGAAGCTTCCACAGGGCTAGTAACTCTCCACAGCTAGTGGCACCCCCAACACCTGAGCCTCATATGTTTTTGTTTGTAATAGAGGACATATTGGCATTAAATATTTGACTACATAGAAAGAGTCAGAGATGGGAAGAGAGAAATGAGAGTGAGAGAGAGACACACACATGGTGAAAAACAGAGCAAAAAAGGCATGGCTCCTGCCCTCACAAAGCTTTTCGCTAACACAGACACACTGCTAATTAAATCATCGTACAAATGAGAAAATAATTTTTAGTATACAATAGCCGAACAAGGACATGAATAATGTCCTACACTGAGCAAGTTACTTCACCTTTCTAAGCCTGTCATCTATACAATGGGCGTAAGAGTAGAACCTACTTCCTGTGCTGTGAGCCTTAAATAAAATCTTTCGTTTAAAGTTCTTAGGACCGTGTCTACTACATAGTTAGTGCCCAGTAAGCATTAGTCAGTTTTCATTACTGTGGTTATTATTATTCTCTTTACCACTCCTATACCCATACCCAGGAGAAGAGCCCCTGTACCTTGGTTTTTCTGAGCAAGGGATCCGGTGAAGATGGGTGGCTCATTCACATCTGCAATCTGGATTAAAATGGTCTGTGAAGCTGTGGCTCCTTGGTTGTCCTTGGCATAGACGATCAAGGAATAGAGCGACACTGTCTCGAAGTCCAGCTTGGGTACTCCGGTGGAGAATAACTAATTTTTTTAAAGTGGAGATTAATGTTTTGTTTTATTAAAATGTAGATAGAAAATCTGGGGTCTATAATCCCAGTATCAATTAGCCCTTTTTAAAAAAGATATAAATATCTCATACTTAAAATGTGGAAGCAAGATGACATTTTATTGAAAACCCCTCCATGAACAAAGAATTCACTTACACCGTGCCAAATGGCTTGTCTTTCATCCTTCTCACCCTTCCATGATGCTTCCAATTAACAGAGTTAACCACGTATTGAGTCCCTCCCACTTCATAATTTGTCAAGGAGCAACCAGAGTTCTTTACAAACATCCATTCTGTTCTTTGTGTTTTTTTAAAGAATTATTTATTTAATTTTTAATTTACTATTACTATTATTTAAAATTTGCTGTAGGGCACGTGCACTCACCAGAGAGAAACAGAAAAAGAGAAAGAGAGAGAGAGAAAGTGAGAAAGCAAGCCGCCAGGTCTGGAACTTGAACTAGGGTCAGCCACCTGGGAGTCCAGCTCCTTAACCTTCATGCCATCTGCTGGCTCCCCATTCTATCTTCACTGTAGCAAATGGGTACTACTGCAGAAATTGAGATTTGTAGGGTGGCAGGTTGGCCCAGTGTTCACAGATATAAACTCAATTGATCTGGATAGCTCTCACTGCACGGTCATGCTCTTCACTGAGCATCTGAACTGCCTGGCACTAAATGCATGGAAAGGCAGGACAGGAGCCCCTCTTGCTCCTCCCCTGTTCAGTTGCCCAGTATCTCCTATCCTATGCTCCTTTATAGTTTTCACACTGGTTTCTTTCTTTCTTTCTTTCTTTCTTTTCTTTCTTTCTTTCTTTCTTTCTTTCTTTCTTTCTTTCTTTCTTTCTTTCTTTTTTTGGAGAGGTTTTTGCTACCAGGCATGTGTGCTTGCCAGAAAAACAGAAAGAGACAGAGAGACAGAAAGTGAGAAACCACCCCCCAGGGAGGATGGCCACACCACAATCCCTTCTCCTCCATTCTCCTTGGGTTCTTGGGCATGCACACATATGCGCCCGACATGAGTTTAAACCACTGGGTCCAGGAGTCGAACCACGGTTGACTACATGGGAGTTCAGCAACATAGCCATTATGCTAACTGCTGGTCCCCACACTGTTTTCTAAACTGTTCTACTAAGGGGCCCCTGAGGTTGAGCATCGAGAGAAGTGGGTTTAAATTCTGCCTCTAGTATGAAATAGCTCCAATGCATAGCCATAGTTTTTCAGATATCTGATTCGAATTTTTTTTTCTTACAAAAAAGCTTTAGAAGTTCTGTCACTAATGTCCTTTTCATGTCCACCATGATGTGAGTAGGGGAGAAAATGCTTATTTCTAGAGAGAATGCTTTATTTCTTATTGGTAAAGTAACAGACAACAAGGATTTTATTGAGTATTAACATTCACTGGAAAGGGTTCAAACCATGACTCCCTTGTAAAGAATGATGATGAGCTCTACGGCAGTACCAATAGCTGACATATGCTGAGCGTTTACTGTGTGCCTACTGTGAGTAATCAATGTTCATTACAGTGTTTACCCCCTTTCCCCTCAAAAAAAAAGTACAGTTGGTACTGATTCGAAACCTTTCCTTTCTTCCTTCCTTTCTTCCTTCCTTCCTTTTAATTTTTGCCACAGGACATATGAACTCACCAGACAAGGAGAAAGTGAGAAATCACTCCCGGGGCGGGGGGGGGGGGATGTCCACACCACAATTTCTTCTCTCCATTCTTTTCTTGGGATTTTGGGCATGCATGCATGCACACATGCCCAGCATGATTTTTAAGCCACCAGGACTGGGACTTGAATCATGGAGTCGGCCATGTGGGAATCCAGTGCCTTAACCTTCACACAACCTGCTGGCCCCTATATGTCCATTTTACAAATAAAGGACCAGCCTTAGAGTGAGTATCATGCAAATAATGGAGGCAGGATGTGTCCTTGCTCTTAGCTGCACGGCCACACCGCTGATGTGGCTGCCTTCCCAGTAACCAATCCCTGACACTCAAATACATACATAAATGCCCCGGGGTTTGAACCCTTTCAGAAGAGAGGGTCATAATGTCACTGTGCCAACCTCATACAAGAACTTACATTTATTGAGCATTTTTTTTTAGCTGCCAGGCTTTGCTCTAGCATTTTACCTCACTTAACCATCAAAACAAACTTACGAGGGAGGTGCTATTATTACCCCAATTCACAGATGAGGGAATATTAGTTTAGGTTCTATATTTAAGAAAGTCATGGTGGCCCAGTCACAGTGACATGTGCTGCAAAGACATTGTGCTTGACAGGCTGGGACTGCACAAGGGGCCTGGGTTCAACTTTCGGTCTAACCTAAAGGCCAGGTACAGTGGCACATGGCTGTAGTCCAGTGCCTCACGGAGGCTGAGGCAGGAGGGTCATGAGCTTGAGGCTGACCTGGGCGACACAGAAAGAACCTGTCTAAAAATGAGCCAGTACGGTGACGCATACCTGTAGTCTCAGTTGGGAGGCTAAGGCACGGGAATTGAGACATGTGAGACCCTATCTAAGAGAAAGAAGAGAGAAAAAAAGAGAGAAGAGAAGAGAGGAGAGGAGAGGAGAGGAGAGGAGAGGAGAGGAGAGGAGAGGAGAGGAGAGGAAAGGAGAGGAGAGGAGTCCAGTCATGGCACAGAAAAAGTCAGACTTCGACCTGGCCCCTCCCAATCTGCCCCTAGGACCCTTGCACTGACCATCTTACAGCTGACAGTAACACCGGAGTGTTATCTTCATGATTCCAAGAGAAGTCATTAAGACATTGATATTTGAGACCTATCCTCTACTGAGCACTTATCATAGGCTAGACACTTTATTTCCTCAATTCTCACAATCACCCCATCGAGGAAAGGCTATTATCATCCCCATGTTGCTGATGAGGAAACCGAGGCTCAGAAGGTAGATACTCTGCCAGACGTAGCACAGCTAGGAAGTGGCAGAACTAAGATTTAAAGCTGATTCTTTCCAATTCTAATAAAACCTTTTTATTATCATCATACCCTAATACTTTCTGATAAATTAATTTAATATCATAGTCAGATTTTATGATATGCAAGGTTCTCCAGCTTCGACTAAGCTCTGTCTTCAAGGACTCCTTCACCTCGGAAGCACAGCCCCGGGCTCAGGCTGTCCCTCCTGGTTGTGGTTCCCTCTGCCCTGGGAGCGCATGGACTGTATGTGTGTGTGTGTGTGTGTGTGTGTGTGTGTTTGGGTGTGGGGGTTGTCCATTTTGTTGCCTAGTGTCTTACACGGTACCAGGTTCTACATCAGTTTTCCCAGTACATATCAAATAGTGGTGAATGCTTGCTCTTTGCACTGCAAGAAGACAAGAAGGTGGTTGAAGACTCCCTCCAGTTGATTACTCCCATTCGGGGAACAGGAAATATGCACACAGAGGGTAACTTGGGTTCATTTGGCCATGTCGCCTGTGCCACCCCATTCATCTGTGTTGCTCAGTGACAGGTAGCAATTTGAAGATTACATAACTAAGTGTACCTTGTCTCATTTCCACGTATTTATCTATAAAATCTGTGCACTTCACGCTTTGCTATTGTTTCTCCAGGAAACTACTTTGGTGCTTGTTTGGTTGTTGGTGGTGCTTTTGTTTGACTGTCTCACCAGTGATTCCCTCTAAGCTCAATCAGTCTTTTGCAAACCAAACAAACAGATGCACTGCAAGGAAAAAGTGATCAACAAAGGATAATGATATGCTAAGCCCCAAACAGAACAGTGCATGCCTGTTTATACTGTAACATAGAGACAGATATTAACTCTTTTTGTTTAGCCTTTATCTGCAAGCATATTTCCACGCAGTAAAACTGTTTCATAATTGAACCGCTTCTAAAGCTGTCTAGAGCTGATCTCTGATTATGTGGCCACATTGTTCTTATTTATTTTTATTACCTGTAATCTGTCTACAGTAGTGCTAAATACTAAAGTAGAAATATATTTATTACAGTAATAGCTACTGTGGGTTAACTGCTTATTATAGACCAGGCAACAAGATCGTTCTGAGCTCATGTTACCTCATAGGATCTTCTTACCACCCCAAGCAAGATGGCATTGTTAGTATTCATTTTATTACATGGAATAGCAAAAGCACAGAAAAGTCCTGTAATTCACCCAGGTCGGGTCACATTGCTACAAACTGGAGGAGCGGTGGTTGCAAACTAGGTTTGTCAGGCTCCAAGTCTGTGCTGAGGACACCTATACTCACTATATCACCAAAGAGAAAGAGAGAAAGGAAGAAAAAGAGAGAGAGAAAGAACAATGAAAAAAAAGAAAGATGAGCGAGCACAAAGTGAAAAGTGTCGGAATCTCCTTTGTTGCCATTTTGCTGTTGTTTAGACTTATAGCAAAAATCTAATTAGGAACAAGTATGTGATAGCATTTCATACCAAGCTGAAGGTGAAAGCAAATTTGAAAGTCTGACAATACCAAGATTTGACAAGGATATTGAAGAGCCTCATACTAGAACTCCTTTGTCCCTCTGTAACTTGTTCTCATCAAAACAACTATAATAGATGGGTATGTGCTATAAAGTTGTACAGTAAACAGGGACAGTAGGTGGCATGGTGGCTGAGGCACTGCACCTGCACATGGCCGACTGTGGTTCACTCCTGGACCTGGCAGCTTGCTTTCTCACTTCCCCACTCCCCCTCTGTCTCTCTCTGGTGAGCACACATGCCCTACAGCAAATTTTTAAAATAATAATAATAATAATGGTAAGTAAATTAAATAAATTATTCTTTTTTAAAAAATTAAGGGACCAGCAGTTAGCGTAATGCCTACGTCGCTGGACTCCCTCATGGTCGACTGCAGTTCAAGTCCCAGACCCAGCGGCTTAAACACACGTCGGGAGCGTGTGTGTGCATGCCCAAGATCCCGAGAGGAGAATGAAGGAGAAGGGATTGCGGCATGGCCATCCCCCTTGGGGGGTGATTTCTCACTTTCTGTCTCTCTGTCTCTCTCTGTCTTTCTGGCAAATGCACGCACCCTATAGCAAAAACCTCTCCAAGAAAAAAAAAAATAATAGAAATTAAATGTAAAAAAATAAAGTAAGATAACATAAAAACAACAAAAAAAAGCTAGGTCAGTCCTTCTTAAATGTGGGTAAATGTTATCTCTCTTCTGCAATTTCTCCAGCGGTTTCTTAAATGTGAGAGGTGGGTGTAATGTTCCCATTTCTTTACCCTTTCCTCCAATTTGTGTCCTTTGCCATGTGACTTTGCCATTCCTCCTACTAAGAATGATGTATTCCTTTTTTTTTCTTTTTTTTTTTTTTCTTTTTTTCTTTTTTTCAGTTTTTGCTTTTCCCCATCATGCTTGTTCCTGCCACAGGGACTTTGCATATGTCATTCGCTCTACTTCTTCTACAAGAAGAGTGTTCTTTGCTATAAGAAGAGTGCTCTCTTCTTGCTATTTATCTATTTAATTCCTCACCACTCTGCAGTTACTCTCCATGTAGCTCTCCGTAGGGAAGTCTAAGTCAAGTGTCCCTCTTAGATACTCTCGTAGCCCTATGGCCTGTGTCCCGTGGCTCTGTTGCATTTATGAGTGTATACATGCACGTGTGTAGTCACACATGTTAATGGTTATGGTTAATGTATCTCCTTAAACTATCACGAGGGCAAGGACCTTGCATCACCGTGCGAGTCCTAATGCCTTGTCCGTGTTTGAGAGGTCCTTAAACAATATCTATAAACTGGATCTTGATGTTCCCGGGTATTTTTAGAGTGTCTGGCATATAATGGGGTCCCATTTAGCAGATGCAAAATTAATAACATACAGTAGAACATAAACAGGAAGACAATGCTACTTTCATTTTAGAGACCTGTGGTATCAAGCGATAAAACTGTTCACCTGCATACTCACTTCCCACAGATGTGTGGATCTAGGAGCCAGTACAAACGGATGGACTGTAGGATTTGCATTAATTATGATGAGATCTCCAGCCAGAGAGGCGCGGGGTGAGACAGATACAGTGATTATCGCAACTCGTGTATGTTCGGAGGCATTTTCCGGAAGAGGGCTGGCATTCTCGATGGCAAAATTTGGAAAGGCTAAAACAACTTAAAAGGAAACATAAAGTTTTATGCTTTCATAAGAATTTCTTCCAGGCTTCCCAACCTCTTTCATATTTTGAAACTATAAAAGAGAAGTACAATAAATTAATCTTTCTCTCCTTCTTTTCTGTATATTTGCTATAGGGTGCCGAAGAGACAGAGAGGGAGAGAGAGAGGGAAAGTGATAAATTATGCCCCTGAGGTAGGGTGGCCATGCCACAATCCCTTCTCCTCACATCTCCTCTTGGGATCTTGGGCACACACATGTATCTGGCATGTTTTTCAAGCCACTCAGTCCAGAACTCGAACTGCAAAGTCAGCAATGTAGGATCCAGCTGCCTTAACCTCCACACCATCTCCTGGCCCAGTTAATCTTTTTTATTTGAAAATGCTAAAAAACAGTTGAGTTGGTTTGGCAGTGCCATCAAGAACTGTGAAGGATCTGAGAACTTACCCTACCTGCAGGCTAACAAGTTAACCTGCCCCAATTTCACAGAGGCTGGCAAAAGACCCCAGACTTGAGCTTACTGTTCATGTCTATTCCCCTTGTTCATCAAGCCCCATGGGGCAACACAAATTAAGCAGGTTTTCATCTTCTGGGATTCAAATCTGGGACCAAGGTGAGGGCTGTGTATGCTCTAGATGTGCATTTATATCGTGTTCAAGGGATCCTGAGCTCAGAGAAACCCAGTCTGTTCAAATGAACAGTAAACCTGCCTGATCTTTGCCCTTCTGAGAAAAAAAAATATATATCTACTATACTCGGTGATAAGGAAACCATCCTTTGCTCCAGAGGAAGACAATATCTCTATTGCTACTTAAACATCCTTGAAAAAAATAATTCAGGGACTGGCAGGTGGCATGTTGGTTAAGGGTGTTGGATTCCCATGTGACCCACCACGGTTCAAGTCCTGGACCTGGCAGCTTGCTTTCTCACTTTCTCTCTCAATCTTCTCTCTCTCTTTCTCTCTCATTCTATCTCTCTCTGGTCAAATTAAAATAAACAAATAAATAAACTTACATAAACATAAATAATTCTTTTAAAAAGATAATTGAGAACGAAATCAATCAGTGCTGCTTCTCACAAGATGTCTGGAAGCCCAAGAGCCCCATAGAGGACTGTCTCCCAGCAAAGGTTGATCTTTCATTCTTTTTTTTCCAAATGTTTTTAAACATGTGTAGCAGATGTTTAGGAGCCTGCTCCCTTCCCCTCCATTCTCACTTCTGTATGTGGAAAGCTTCTAACCAAGAACAACTATAGGGGAGCCACTGGGCCTGCACAAAAGGACAGGCCAGGGGCCCAGAGTTAATGCCCCTAGAAGCAGGAGTCAAAGGGTCATGGTGGTTAATCACATCCTTCAGAGTGGGTCACTCTGGGATGTGTTTCTACATTGGACGCACCATAGAACGGAGCTCTGGTTTCCCCAGAGCTGACATGCTTGAGAATACATCCTTCTTCTGTTGCCTTCTATTTATTGTCTAGCTTTCTTATCTCCTTACTGGTGTTCCCTAGAATCACCTCCCAAATAAATGCCTTGCACTTGAATTCTTCTCTTGGAATCTTCTTATAGGAGAATCCCAGAAGATTCAAATCTGTTTGATTTGAATCAAGCAGATTCAGATCCCAATTCTTTCTCTTACTGGCCATGTAATCACCTGGGAAAATAACTCCTCTGAAGCTAGAAGGCAACTGTAGCTTGATAAGAAGGGTTTTTTTGTTTTGTTTTGTTTTGTTTTTTGGGGGGGATAAACTAAGGCAATGTGATATACGCTTTTTGCAATGTACAACAAAGCATAAAGAGTATGGCAATGGAAAAGAAGAGCATCAAAGGAATCAGATAGCTGTCAATACATTCAGACTGTAACTGAACTTAGGAAAAGCCTTCTGGTCCTGCCAGATCTCCTCCATGATCAATTTTCTGGCCTCATCACTCCACATTTCCCTTTCCACATGTGAGGTTCCAGTTATCTTGAACTTCTATTATCTAATCCACCTCTGGACAATTATATATAAAGTTTCTAAAACACTTTTCAGTTTTGAAATCTTACCTATCCTTCGATTGCCCCTTAGATATTGCTTCCTCCAGAAAGCTTTCTCTAATCTGTCCAGGTTGACTTGGATACTCCTTCTCAGTGATTCGTATCATCCATCATGACATCTGACACACTGTATTATAATTGCTCTTCACTTGCATTACTTACCTGTGATCCATAAGGTATGGGTCTATTTCCATCACTGGATATCTAATATATGCATGTTGAATGAATAATAAATAATATAATGACCATCTATAGAACATTCTTTCATAGAGATTATCTTCATTTAATCTTAAAAGAATTATGTATTCAGTTGTAGTTATCTTTTTTTTTTTTTAATTTTGAACAGAGAAAGAGAGAAGGAAAATGAGAAAGCAAGCTGCCACTTCTAGGACTCGAACCATGGTCGACCATGTGGGAGTTCAGCACCTCAACAACCACATCACTGGACGGCCCCTTCATTTAATCTTAATAACAACCCTAGGCTGAAAGGTACTACAATTCTATTATCACTTCCACTTTGCACACAAGGAACCTGACACATGGAAAGGTAACATGGCTTTAATTAATTTAGTTAATCAATGGTGAGAGTCAGTGTTTGAATCCAAATTGCATGTTCTTAAATGACTGGAATTACTTCATAATTCAGAATTTATTTATTGCAGCCAGCAGGTAGCATGGTGGTTAAAGTGCTGGACTCCCACATTGGAGCTGTGAAATATCGCTTTCCTTGACTAAAAATGAAGATTTTCTGCTGAGACTTATCCCTCCAGATTCATTTCTAGTGGCCTCTATGCACTAAATGTCTAGACAGGTCCAGGTGAACAGGATCCAAACATCTGAATATGATTAGGGTCAGAATATTCCTCTATTCCAATTGAATCTGAAGCCCAAAGAGTAAAAACGGAACAGAAGAGAGATTGCAGATCACCGCCTCCTGCACGCCTCTGAACACTCGGATTAGACTTCAAGAATTAGGAAGAAATATGGGAAAGCAAGACAATACCTCTCCTCCAAGGGAAAAAAATAACTCCTCTTCATCCTCAGACAGTACAATGAAACTCATGGAAATGTCTGATAAAGAATTTAGAGCATTCATAGTGACAGAGCTAACAGAGATGGAAGGGAAGAGAGACTATGAACTGCAGAAGAGGCAAGAGAAAGGAGCTGATGAGTTCCAGGAGGTGAGGAAATTCTTGCAAGATCTAAAAGAGGAAATACACTCTATAAAAGAGAATCAAATGGACCTGTTAGAGATGAAAGCTATAATATAGGAAATCAAAACCTCCCTTGAGAGTATTAAATGCAGACTAGATCACACTGAAAATCAAATCTTAGATATAGAAGATAGAATCACATAGAAGAGA